TGGTATTGCCAACCTTACCTCCGCGCTGCCTTCCGCGCCGGGTTGCAAGAGAGCGGTGGCCGCTGGCCGGGTGCCAAGCTCTGAAGGCAGCGTCGCTGCCAGCAGCAGCGCAGAAGTGAGGGAGGCCTGGAATATAGAACTGTACGGACACGGCCGCGAAATCTGCTCTCGATGCCCTGACCAACCCACGAAAAATGTGTGATTTCGCGGAGATTTAAATAGACCCCTAATTAAGAGGAGGTCAGACAATAACTCATGACAGTAGATGCTGACATTCAAAGTTAAAGCTTTCTAGCCGTTACAACACAATGTCGTCATTGCATGTCAAAATATACCAAGTAAATATTCTTACATCAAACTAATAAGTCCCCCGCAGCATTTTTCTTACTTTGCTGATCATTACATTTCTATCCTCTTCAGTGGATATATTTTTTCAGGTAGAGCTGGTTGGAAGATCGCCAAAGAAACAAACATTTTTTCCATCAGAGAATAAAAGTGTCAAAAAACAAAACATCACACACAGTCTGCTAACTTGGCTAGCTCACATGCCCAGCTCCTCAGCAGTCCACTTGGGAGGCTGACAGGACTTCTGGGTTCTCCTCCCAGGCTCCTCCTCTACTCGCCTGTGCACTGCCAAGCTTTCACCCCCCCCAGAGCCCCTCCTCGTCCCCATCAGATCAGCAGGCTGGAGCCTGGGTGCTCAGACCCCATGGCAGCCCTGATTCCCAGCATCCACAGCTCTGTGGGAGCCCACCAGGTGAACTGCCCCAGAGCTGAGGCTCCAGTCCCTTTCATGGCAAATTTCAAGATCTGGGTTTTATTCAGAACCACATTCATAGAATTGGAAGGGACCTCAGGAGGTCACCTAGTCCAACCCCCTGCTCAAACCAGGACCAATCCCCAATTTTTGCTCCAGATCCCTAAATGGCCCCCTCAAGGATTGAACTCACAACCCTGGGTTTAGCAGGCCAATGCTCAAACCACTGAGCTATCCCTCCTCCAACCCAACTTTGGAAATCTCTCTCACAGAAGATTCTGATCATCCCCTTTCTCTGCACAGTGCCCAGGCAATATATTTGTTTGGCAAGATGAAGGACATGTTCTTTATTTTTTCAAGGGGTTCCCAAAAATTCAAGATAGCAAGTGGAGTAGCCCCTGTGGTTTCACAAAAACAACATGCTGCCCATCTTAATGAGGGCTCCCAGAAGAGTTCCCATTGGCCTGTGATAAATCCCAGTCAAAGAGGGCTGAATGAGTGGGAGATCTATACCTTTGTTTGCCTTATTTACATAAAGTCACTTTCTCCAAACTCACACAGGGGTGCTGGAACAATTTGTATAGTGGGGGTGCTGAGGGCCACTTAACGAAACTAAACCCTGTATATAATGGAAACCACTTAAAGCCAGGAGGTGCTGCAGCACCTCCAGCACCCCTAGTTCCAGCACCTATGAACTCACAAGTCCTGCAATATTCCCCAAAGCCTCAGCTCCTGGAGTCAGGGGATGCCATGAGAATCAGCTCTCAGTGAGGCAAGGAGTTTCTAGCCCTCATGGCGGTATAGAAAAGCTTGAGAATCATGAACCCTCTCAAGACTCGGAAGTCAAAAGGCAAAAAAGAGAACTCAAACTTTTTTTTTTAACTCTCATTTGGGGGGCCCTAGCTTGTTATTTTGGAATACTTGGAAATGGCAATACCTCTTTTCAATAACCACAGCCAAAAGCATCCCTTGGTAAACAACCGTCCAAGTGCATTTGCTGCAAAGGTCTGTAGTTTGGGCCCTGAAAACTATACCAGTGTACTGATACCCACCACAGCTGTAGTTGTGGTGGGTAAGATCTCAACTACGGAGTATGCGCCCCAGGAAATTTGAAGATAGCTGCCATTCATCAAACTTTTCAGGAGTAAGCCATCTCTTACAAAGTTTGTACAGCACCTAGCACACTTGAAGTTGCTTTTCCAGAAGTATTTTTAGGGGTCCTGAGGATATGTTCTCTGGTGGCAGGGCTAATTTAACAGTACCCAAGGAAGGGATGACTCCCTGAGACCCCAGCAAATCAATCCCACACTCCGTTCAATTTGGAAATTGGGTTTTTAAATTATTTTGTGAGCCCATTGCTGGAAAAAAATATGAACTGTGCTGAAAATAGCAGCTCTTCGTGCCATAAACAAGACACTAGTATGTGTCTATTGCATCTTACCTGTGTGTAGTAGAACATGTTCAGTTTGATGGATGGATCTAGACTGTTCTCAGTGGTAGCAGATGACAGAACAAGGAGTAATGGTCTCAAGTTGCAGTGGGGGAGGTTTAGGCTGGATATTAGGAAAAACTTTTTCGCTACGAGGGTGATGAAACACTGGAATGCGTTACCTAGGGAGGTGGTGGAATCTCCTTCCTTAGGAGTTTTTAAGGTCAGGCTTGACAAAGCCCTGGCTGGGATGATTTAGTTGGGGATGGGTCCTGCTTTGAGCAGGGGGTTGGACTAGATGACCTCCCGAGGTCCCTTCCAACCCTGATATTCTAGGATTCTACGATAAAGATACAGTAGGTCCATTTTATTGTTATTCTAGCAGATTAGGAGTCTAGCTGAGAGGAGTAGTTTTTTTTAAAGAGACAATTAAGACTAGTTTAGTCTCCTTCTACCCCAAGGGTTCATAAACACCATTTGGAATCTGGAAAATGGACCAAGCGAAGAGACTGAGCCTTTGGCCACAGCTTCTGTATTATTTCCTGCCTCATCATTGCCACCTTACGTCTTCTCTGGGTAAGGTAGGAAAATATACCAGCAGAGTATTTCCTACCCCCATTCTTGCACTCGTACACTCCCAGCATTAGGGTGACCAGACAGCAAGTGTGAAAAATCGGGACAGGGCAGGGGTGGGGAGTAATAGGAACCTATATAAGAAAGAAGCCCAAAAATCAAGACTGTCCCTATAAAATCGGGACATCTGATCACCCTACCCAGCATACAGTTCCCTGCGTGGTACTAGCAAAATTGCTAGCTGTTTAGTTTATCACTACTTACATCCAGGGCACTGAATTGGCTGGCAGCATGGGAAGGGTCAGCATTTAGGCTTTAATGGGTGGTTTTCTCTAACGTTATACTTACAGATTTCCCTCCTCCACTGCTCCCAGCACCACAGGCTGATCACTAATACAGACACGGTCAGACCAGCTTTGTCTAGATTGTTTTTAACTCACCATATATAAGGAAATATTTCCTTTTGTGCTTGATCCATAATCAGGGACCTGTGTAAAGCAACTAAGCCACGATACAAGTGGCTAGAACACCTGGTGAGAACAGCAGATTTGAGAATCCGCCCCTTCCTCCCTGTTCTTTATTGTTGCGGAGGTGATCCCACATTGCTCCAAGAACAAGCATATGCCCTTGCCTGACTCCTGGCCAGACGTGACCGGATACCCTCAGAGAAAAAGAGCTACAGGAGGGCAGGATGTAGTTACTAGTACAAGCATTCAAAAAATGGTGATAGGCCCTATACAATCCTGAGCGACTTAAAAAAAACCACAAGTTTGGGGACTTCATTTACTGTTTTTGAGCTGGGGGTGGGACACAGTTTAAGCTTTTCCTCACAGCTCATGTGTTGGAAGCTTATTTTAAGGTGAAATCCTAGATTGCCCTACACAACATGCCTCCAGGAGCTGGGGCTTCAAGACGACAAAATATCACAAGACGCATGATAAAAATCACTTGAGTTGGCAACCCTGAATTACCCCTGCGAGAACGTGTCTAGAGCATCAGCCTTTTGACTACTGCTGGTTGGAAATTTCTCTTGGACGTGGTTTTTTGTTTGTTTGTTTTTAAATAAACTGGAAAATGCTGATTTGTTGAAACAAACTTGTTACAGGAACAGATTGGTGTCGATGGAAAACACTTTCACTGGGAAGGTCTCAGGTCCAGGATGGAATTGCTGGTCAAAAATGACAGGTTTCAGAGGAACAGCCGTGTTAGTCTGTATTCGCAAAAAGAAAAGGAGTACTTGTGGCACCTTAGAGACTAACCAATTTATTTGAGCATGAACTTTCGTGAGCTACAGCTCACTTCATCAGATGCATACCGTGGAAACTGCAGCAGACTTTATATATACACAGAGAAAAAACAAATAACAATGTTTCATATTCTCTGTGTATATATAAAGTCTGCTGCAGTTTCCACGGTATGCATCTGATGAAGTGAGCTGTAGCTCACGAAAGCTCATGCTCAAATAAATTGGTTAGTCTCTAAGGTGCCACAAGTACTCCTTTTCTTTTTCTGGTCAAAAATGAGACTGAATGGCCAACAGCCTGGTGGCGAGGGCACTTTTGGAACGCGAGAGCCCCCCCCACACCAGTCAGTCCCTGCTCACAGCAGAATTTCTCACGTCCCATCACTCTGAATCAGGAGGAGAAGGGACTTGAACCTGGGGCTCTCACATCCCAGGAGAAAGCCCTGATCACTGGGCTATTAGCTACTGTAGGGTGCACTCTGCCCCTCCCCCCATTAAAAGTTTTGAAAGGTCTCATTTGTTCTGCATTAGAACGAAGCCAAATTTGTCATGAAAGGGAATTCTTGTTTTCCCGCCAGCCCTAACTTTAACAACCTTGTTGCTATCACACCTTGGTGTCGGTTTCATCTGAACGATGGCGCTGGTAACAATCCAGTGCCCCCTGGGCATTGACTCAGTACCAACTCAACAGATAGTTTCCCCGACTAAATCAGCAACCACACAGCTTCTTGCGGTATCTAGGAGTTCCGGGGAGGTCTTCAGCCCAAGTCATCTCTTTGATCAAACCTACTTAGGGCTCACCTACATCAGGATGTTTACCAGCAGAATTATACTGCTATAGTTTTACCAATATAACATCTGCTGGGGATATTCTTAGACCAGAATAAGTGTCTTTTCCCAGTTTAGTTCAAACTGCTTTCAGAGCGGCATAGACTTGAGATCAGATGAGGCCTGATGGCATATGGCTGCAAAGTCTTTTGGGATGGAAGATGCTAGATAAATGCAGCACATTAAAGACTCCTCTCTGCAGCTATTGTCCCTGCCAGTATTAGCTAGCTACAACACGGATTACACATAGCTTGGCTTGCCGCCCTTCTGGTCAGGGAAGAGACATGGCTATCGACCGACCAGGAGAAAACAAGAGACGAGAGCTGGAACCAGTCATCAGCTGTACGGAAGCAGGGCTGTAATAAGTAAATAGCTTTCCTCTCTGGGGAGTGGGGTCTGATCTCCAGTCACCACCTTGCTGGCAAGGTTAGAGCTCAGAGCACTCCCACCCCTCGGCCCAGAGCATTCTGTAAGCGACACCAATCTAATTAATTAATGACTCCCCAGGGCTGGCTCTGCGACTGCTGGACTGGAAAGCAAGGCTGCACGGAGTGGAAAGGACTGTACGGGGTAGCTTCTGGCAGATGCAGAGACTGCTGTTGGAAGCTAGCCGGCTATCAATCACCCTTCCTGCTTGGGCTCCAGTACAGAGAGCAAGCAAGAGACAGAGAGAGAGAGACAGACAGAGGAAATAAGATGGCGTGGGATCAGCATCCTCTCTGCTGGCAAAGATGCTCGGCTCTCCTGCTGTCTTACTCCAGAGCCGCCATGAGCCAGTTAATAGAGGTAAGGGACTTCCCCCACTTGGACTGGGAAAAGGGGGGTGGGGATACTGGTGGTGCAGACAGCAGGTTGCATGCATCTTGTTTTCTTTGCACGTTACCCAGAGATAGGGTGACCAGACAGCAACAGTGAAAAAACGGGACGGGGGTGGGGTGGGGGTGGCGGGAATAGGCACCTATATAAGAAAAAGTCCCCCAAAACAGGACTGTCCCTTTAAAAACAGGACATCTGGTCACCCTACCCAGGGAGGACCAATGTGGAGAGTGGAGAATTTAAGGTAGCTCTGAGGAGTTAGAGGTTTGCTTAGTTGAAGCTTGTTGCTTCCAGCGGGCCTGTGTTCGAGGGATGCACCTGTAAACTACTGCACATTTAAGGTGGTCAGCAGTCAAGTAAAGGCAACCAATTGTTAGGAGCCATTTTGCAGTGGCTAATGGCTACGACAGACTGTCTTGGTTACCTCGGACTTTCCTTATTTCCTCTCATGCATCCAACGTGATGCTGCCAAGAGCATCTGTCCGCACCCCCCTTCTCACTCCCTTCACTGGCTTCCTCTCCTTCCGCAACACAGGCTAGCTCCTTCTCCTTTCCTTCAGCACCCCGCACAATTTCACCCTGCCTGCATCTCATCCCACTAGTCCCAGCCAAGCCACCCTCTGACCCGTCTCCTTTGTGCCATTCGTTTTCCTCGGAGTTGTCACACCTTCCTCCACGTGGCCTTCTTCTCTGAGCCCTTAGCAGTTCACCCGGCCAGCTCATTCACCTCTCCGCACCCAGGGGGCTAGTCCCCCACCCCAGAACCTTCCAAGCTCTGTCAGCAGCCCTCTGTTGGGCCCTATGGCTCCCGGATAGGCCTCCCCACTGCATTCAGCTCTCAGGCTGTTCACAGCACCTCCTTCTGGCCAGGTATTCACCTGGGCAAACAGCCCCCTGAGCTCCCTGTGGAAAACTCCTTGTCCTCCCCGTCAACCCAGTTGGAGGGGGGAGGAGAACACATTGAAGAAACTTCATGGCTCATTACTACAAACTGGCAGGCAGTGGCTATCAGTTCTCAACTAATAAGTTAGAGTACTGCACTAAAGGACAAGCAAAAAACTACTGTCATAATAACTGTATCTAGCCCAGATATTCCCAGTCACCTCTGCCCAGACTAAGATCTGGGAGGCATCAGTCTATGCCTACTGCTTCCCATTCTCAAGGGATGCTGGCATGCAGAGCAAGCCAGTTTCCCCAGTGGGTCAGGGGATCTGCTACCACCTCCACAGTGACTAACACACCAGGGACCTCCAAAGCGATAAGGCTTGAGCCACAAGAACCAGGCTCCATGCTAGGGGGGCTGTAACACTAACCTCGGTGGGGCGGTCACAGAGGGACACATTGACCAGTGGGTTACACATCTCACTGCGGGGAGATTAGCAACACCAGCACAGAAGAGGGAAGAGAAAACAGAGTGCTGTATCGGCATGACATGGGAGCCAGTAATTAGCAGTCTGTGTTTCTATCCTCTACGTCACCTTGGTTGGGAAAGTCACAGCCTCTGGGCTGCAGGTTTTAGTAGTTAGCCACTAGGTGACGGGTAGTTTGAGCTTCAGGTCACAATAGGGACTCCCAGGTAGGGTGACCAGATAGCAAGTGTGAAAAACCGGGACAGGGGGTGGGGGAATAGGTGTCTATATAAGAAAAAGCCCCCAAAAAGCAGGATTGTCCCTATAAAATCGGGACATCTGGTCACCCTACTCCCAGGCGGTGACCTGAGCTTTGCCACTGACTCACTACGTGCCCTTGGTCAAATCATTTAGATCGCTGTATTCAAATGGGTCCACTAACTTCACATGTCAAGCTGGACATGCCTAGGGCTATTGCACCTGCAGCCTCCATTGAAGCCAATGGGAACAGCCGCTCCATCTGAACATCAGGCCACGAGGGTCCGACTCTCCAGAGTGCTCTGCACTCAAAGTGGAAACGTTTCACAGAGATGCATCCATTTCAAAGGGAAGGTTTTAATGCTTCCATGTCACTCCCCCATGCAGACCCCCCAACTAAAAGCCAGACATCTCCAATCCAAAAACCAGCCATTTCTGGCCACGCCTATTCCTAAAGGTTTTGTCTTCGTGTCCGTGTGGAGCAAAGACACATTTTGAAACCTTGAAATTTGCCCCAAGACTGAACTGTCAGACTCCAACCAGCTCGTCTCATGGCAACACGGGCGGCCGGATGTTCAGAAGCCTCAGCAAGCAACAGGCAGAGCCCCCCGGCAAAATCTGGCCACTGACGGTGCCTCGAGAAGAGCAGACGTCTTCTGAAAGCACGACCTCCTTTGCGGGTGCTGGGTTCTTAAAACCCTGCAAGTCGGGCACCCAGAAGGCAAAGCACCCAAGCGCAGTGAGCACCTTTCAGCTGTTGGCCTTCGCGTGAGTGGGTGGAGCCCCCCCTTTGAGGAGGCTAGCCCCCAGCTCTTTCCCTTCCGCCCATGCCCTCCACACGGCCGAAGCCCCAAGACAGGCGCCTCCCCCCCCCCCGCAAATGGCCAGACAGGCGCCGTGCCTCCCCTCTCCCAACCCGCCCAGGGGAAAGCGTCTGTTCTCAGACAATTTTGATATGCCCCATGCAGGTTCCGGGCCGGCTGAGGAGGTGGTATGTGCCTTGGCCTCCCTGGAACCTGCATGGGGCATAATAAAGCAAAATCTTTGCCGCCAACCCCTCAACCGGGGGTCCCGCGGCGAAGCCTCCCCGGCCTATTATACCCACCGCCCACGGGCCTTAGTCTCAGTCTCCATTTGTAAAGGCAGCGTAATTACGGGCTGTTCTAAAACATTTCACCCGCGAAGTGCTGTTACCTCAAATGACTCGCTGGGCCTTAACTGTGCGGTCCAGAAATTAGAGGCCCGGCACCTTTAATTCATGTTAAGCTGAGCTGTGCTAACAAACACTGCAAAGATTAAAAGGATTAAGCAGCGAAACATTGCACTGAGCTCAAGAGAGCCCCTTATGCAGAGGCGGCGAGTTGTATGGGCCCGTGGAACGCCGACAGACCCTGGTCGTCGGCGGGCGGGATCGAACCGGGGACCTCTGGAGCTTAGTGCAGGAGCCTCTACTGCAGAAGCGAAACGCCAGCTGGCTGTTAGCTAAGGCCTGAGCACTCTCGCGGAGAACACCACACCCAGGAGGTGCGTGGGTTACACTCAGGCTCCAGCAATCGGCTCCGCCTATGTTTGGGGCCAGGTTTCTGCCCCGGCCCCACCTGCTGCCCCCACGTGTCTCCCCCGAGCGGCCCTGGCCTAGGCAGCGGGCGGCTGCCCCCTGCAGCTCTGCACTGGGTTCCCTCCCTGGCTGCTGCTGCGGCCGGCGGCTACCAAGGAGTGGTGTGGGGGCAGGCGGAGGCAGCTGTTTTGCCTGCCGAGAGAGGAGGTGCATACCCCCCCCACCCCGCCCCGGCTGGCGACACCGAGTCGTCTCCAGGGGTGGGGTGGCTTATGCTGGCTGGACCTCCTGAGCAGCAGCCTGGGGGGGCAGGAGGGGCTTGGGTGAGTATTGTCTGGGGGGGGGGAGGTGCCCACCTCCCCCCCAGTTTGCTGCTGCCGGTGGGGAGAGGGCTGGGAGGAATGCTCCTCTCTGGACCCAAGCCCCGGGGCAGCCTGCCTGCTGCACTCCAAACTCCTCATCCCCAGCCTAGCCCCACAGCCCCTCCTGCACCCCAAGCCTCTGTCCCAGTCCAGAGCCTGCACCCAACCCCCGCAGACTCCACACCCAGCACCCCAAACCCCCTCCAGCATCCCAGCCCCATTCCAGCCCAGAGCCCGCACCCAACACCCAAACTCTCTCCCAGAGCCTGCACCCCTACTGCACCCAAACTCTGAGCCTGCACCCCAAACCCCCTCCTGCATCCCAACCCCCTGCCCCAGCCCAGAGCCTGCACCTAGCACCCAAACTCCGTCCCAAAGCTCACACCCAAACTGCCTCCCAGACCCAAACTCCCTCCCAGAGCCTTAGGCAGGTGTTGGGGAGGCCCACGTGGGACTTGGACCCGTTCTAGGCACCACCAAAAATTATACAAACCTGCCGCCTCTGCCCTTATGGAAAGCAGAAGGATGGTCTAGTGGTTAGTGAGCCTTCCTGGGGCTTTGGAGACCTAGGTTTGAGTCCCTACACTTCTGTTGACTCCCTATATGCCTTAGGCAAGTCACTTAGCCTCTGTACTCCATACATAGGGATAATAGCACTGCCCAGCCTCCCAGGGATGTTGTGAGGATAAATACATTAATGGTTGTGAATCACTCTGATACTATTACAACAGGGGACAGCTGGATACCTCAGCTTGATGGAAGGGCCATCTTCCAGAACACAAGACAGGGATCCAGAAAGAAAGTAAGTAGAGATCTAGGCTGTGTCTACACTGGCAACTGAGCCACAAAACTTATGTCCTTCAGAGGTGCTAATCCCCCCCAACCCCCGAAAGACAAAAGTTTTGCCACTGCAAGTGTCAGTGTGAACAGCACGTTGTCAGCAGGAGCCCTCTCCTGTCGATAACACGAACGCCGCTCGTTGGGGGTGGAAGTATTTTGTCAGTAAAAGTGCGGACTAACAGTGGCTACGCTGCCCGGCTTTTAGCAACACGGCCGTGTCACTAAAAGCCGTGTGGTGTAGACAAATCCTAAAGGATTGTCAGTATCATACAGATACTTTCCTACAGCCAGGAGACCAGCTAGTATAGCTGCAAAAAGAACAAGGAGTACTTGTGGCACCTTGGAGACTACCAAATTTATTATAGCAACAGCGAGTCAGCTTCCACTACATGGCACCCATTTACAACTGCTTTGTATCGATGGCCCGTTAGTCTGCATCATTTCTCCATCCCCCTCATCCACTGGCACCCTCCCAGTGGCGATCAGCTGTGAACTCCAGCGGTATGCAACTTACAAGGGGCAAGCTGGTAACAGCCTACGCCATGGTGCTTTGCCTACCGGGCAAGAGAGGCTGAGACCACTGCAGAGACCCCGGCGGCATGG